AAATCACGTGCTCACAATTACGATGCCAGAGATGTGACTATCGGTGATGATGGGGTATTGAGGATGCAGGTCGGGATAAGTGTACCCAATATAGATGGTCTTCGGGAGTTGATTCTAGAGGAGGCTCACAGCTCGCGGTATTCCATCTATCCGGGTGCTGCGAAGATGTACCAAATTTGTGACAACACTATTAATGGAGGAGGATGAAAAAAGATATAGTGGGGTTTGTAGCTTGGTGTCTCAGCTGTCAGCAGGTGAAATATGAGCATTAGAGACCAAGAGGCTTGCTTCAGCAGATAGAGATTCCAGAGTGGAAGTGGGAGCGGATCACCATGGATTTTTTAGTCGGGCTCCCACGGACTTTGAGGAAGTTCGATGCTATTTGGGTGATTGTGGATCGGCTGACCAAGTCCGTGCACTTCATTCCTATGTGTACTACCTATTCTTCATATCGGTTGGCTAAGATTTACATCAGAGAGATTGTTCACCTTCATGGAGTGCCAATGTCTATCATTTCAGACAGAGGCACGCAGTTTACATCACAAGTTTTTAGGGTCGTGCAGCGAGAGTTGGGCACTTAGGTTGAGTTAAGCATAACATTTCACTCTCAGAGGATGGACAGTCCGAGCGCACTATTCAGATATTGGAGTACATGTTATGCGCTTATGTCATTGATTTTGGGGGTTCATGGGACCAGTTTCTACCACCCGTGGAGTTTGCTTACAACAACATCTATCAGTCGAGTATTCAGATGGCTATGTATGAGTTTTTATATGGGAGACAATGTAGATATCCAGTAGGTTGGTTTGAGCCAGGCAAGGCTAGGCCTTTGGGTACAGACTTAGCATAGGATGCTTTGGACAAGGTGAAAATGATTCAGGAGCAGCTTTGCACAGAGCAGGCAAGGCAAAAGTGTTATGCTGACAGAAATGTTTGTGATGTGTCTTATATGGTTGGAGAGAAGGTTCTACTGAAGGTTTCACCCATGAAGGGTGTTATGAGATTTGAGAAGAAGGACAAGCTGAGCCCTCGGTTCATTGGACCTTTCGAGGTGCTTCGGAGGATTAGGAAGGTGGCTTATGAGCTTGCTTTGCCACCTAGCTTGTCAGGTGTGCATCCAGTATTTCATGTTTCTATGCTCCAAAAGTATATCGGCGATCTGTCTCATGTCTTGGATTTCAGCACGGTTCAATTAGATGGTGATTTGACTTATGATGTGGAGCTAGTGACTATTTTGGAGCGGCAGGTCCGAAAGTTGAGACAAAGGATATAGCTTCAGTGGAAGTGCAGTGGAAAGGTCAGCCCGTGAAGGAGGCTAGTTGCGAGACCGAGCGGGAGATGCAGAGCAGATATCCACACCTATTTGAGACTTCAGGTATGTTCCTAGACTCGTTCAAGAATGAACGTTTGTTTATGAGGAGGATGTAACGATCCAGCCGGTCGTTTCGAGAGTTATAGCCCCATTTCCCCATTTCTTCTTCTTTTTGTGTTCTTTAGCTATATTATGATATGTCGGGTGAGTTGGTTCGGGTCTGGAGTGGTTTCGGAGAGGATTTGAGACACTTAGTCTCTTTTGTGAAGGCTTAAGTTGGGGAAGTTGACCGGATGTTGACTTATGTGTAAACGATCCCGGATGTGAATTTTGATAGTTCCGTTAGCTCCTTTAGGTGATTTTTGACTTAGGAGCGTGTCCGGAATATGATTTGGAGGCCCGTGGTAGAATTAGGCTTGAATTGACGAAAGTTAGAATTTTGGCGATTTTGGTCGGTAGTGAAAATTTTGATATCGGGGTAGGAATAGAATTTCGGAAGTTAGAATGCGTTCGTGGTATCATTTGTGATGTGTGTGTAAAATTTGAAGTCATTCGGACGTGGTTAAGTGGGTTTCGGCATCATTTGCGGAATTTGGAAGTTTAGAAGTTCTTAGGCTTGAATCTGAGGGTAATTTGGTGTTTTGATGTTGTTTTGAGTGGTTCGAAGGTTCGACTAAGTTCGTATGTTGATGTATGACTTGTTGGTATGTTTGGTTGAGGTCCCGAGGGGCTCGGGAATATTTCGGATGATTAACGAAACAAGTTTGGAAATTGGAGGATTTGCTGAAGTTAAACTCAGTTGTCATAAACGCACATGCGGAGTGGGAGCTGCAGGTGCGAGCCCGCAGAAGCTAAGAAAAAGCCGCAGATGCGGCCAAAGCTAAGGTGTGCTGGAAGTGCATGTGCGATACTTTGAGCACTTCTTCGGAATTGCAGATGCAGAAAGGGACCTGAGAGGAAATGATCACAGAAACAGGCAGGGCCCGCAAGTACGAGTATTTGGCCGTAGATGCGGATTTTGGGAGAGTAAGTGGGATCCGCACCTGGAATGAAAATCCTTCACATGCGGCATCATAGAAGCGTGAATTGTACCGCATATGCGATTTTGCTGGGCAGAAAGTATAAAAAGGAAACTTCGCGAATTTTTACTCATTCTCACCATTTTTAACACGAACTTTGGACCTTTTGAGGAGATTTTCGAAGGGGATTCGAGTTTTATCACTAAGGTAAGTTGTTTGAGCTCTATAATCATTAACTATGGTATTTTCCCGTTGATTTCTCACCTAATTAGTGGAGTTTTGAAGTGAAAATTTGGGGGTTAGGACTTGGGATTTTGGATAGAGTAATTTGGGGATTTGAGGGACCAAATGATGTTGGATTTTGATGAAATTGGTATAGGTATACTCATGAGTGAATAAGCTTTCTAGTTTTGTGACTTTTGTCGGATTCTGAGATGTGGGCCTGGGGGATGGGTTTGAGTGAATTTCGGGATTTATGTCCAATTTAGTAATTTTCTTGTGGAATTGGTTCCTTTGGCATATATTGATTGTATTGTATTACTTTTGGCTAGATTCAGGATGTTTGGAGGCCGATTCGAGAGGCAAAGGCATCGCGGAGTAGGATTTTGGCTTGATTTGAGGTAAGTACAACAACAACAACAACCCAGTGTAATCCCACAAGTGGGGTCTGGGGAGGGTAATATGTATGCAGACCTTACCTCTACCCCGAGGGGCAGAGAGGCTGTTTCCAGGAGACATTGATTTGAGGTAAGTAACGCCTTCAAACTTGGTTATGAGGGTTCGAAACCCCGAACTATGTGTTGTGTGATTAGTACTGAGGTGACGCACATGCCAAGTGACGGGCGTGCGTGCGTGCACCGTGAGAATTGTGGCCTGGATGATTCCATGGCACCGTTTATTGACTTTATCCTATTGATATCCCTATGTTCATCATGTGATAATATAGTTGAGCTGCAAACCATGCTAGATATCATGTTTAGGCCTTGTGCCGGTATTATTTGGACCTTAGCGGTCATTTCTTGCTGTCATCTCACTAGTTTTCGCTTTATATTCCATACTCAATATGATCATGCATTTCTATATCATATCTCACTCTCGGTTAGTTATTGACTCATCCTATCATTATTCAGGATTATTTTCATAACATTGTGAGCCCGTGGTGAGACTGGAGAGGTGAATGACTAAGTGAGGCCGAGAGCCTGATTATGAGTGACAGTTATGGGGTTGGGTTGCACGCCGCAACAGTTATATTGATTATGACAGTGCTAGGGCCTTAGGAGCCCCTCTGCACACCCACAGTGGGCGCAGATGATAGATGGATGGATCTTCCCTGGATATGGATCTTGTCTGAAGTATTGATACCTGGAGATGGATCTTCTCCACAGGGCCGAAACGGCCTTCCTCGGTACTAAGTGACTTTGGTCAGTGATGTGTATATATTTCAGGATGGATTTTTCCAATGCCAGATGGCCATATACAGTACCGAGTGGTTGAGCACTTGAGAGTGGAAGTACATGGTGCATTTCATTCATTCTATGCATTGGCACATAGAAGTTAGCTGAACTATATATATATATATATATNCTTGAATTGAAAGCATGCCCACTTTTTTGTATAGTTTGTTCCTGTTTACCGTTGAATTTAAGTTTGTCACTACCTATCAGTCCATAGTTTGGACTTGTTGCTTACTGAGTTGGTGTACTCACCTTACCCCCTGCACCTTGTGTGCAGATTCAGATATCTCTGGCCACGGTAGCGGCTGCTGATTATTCTTTTGTTACTGATCACTGAAGACAGTAAGGTAGTTTCCTTGTGACCGCAGCCCTGCTCTCTTCTTCTCTATCTTGCGTGCAGTTGTATTTTGGATTTTCCCAGACTATGTTAGTTTTATTGTTATCAGAATAGTTGCAGTAGTGACTCGTGACTCAGTGATACTCCGGTATTTGGGCCTTTATTTTCTGCATTTGTAGTTCGAGTTCAATTTTTGTTTTCTTTTATGAAATTCTGCTAAACATGATGTCTTTTGGCATGGTTTTTTTAATGAATTATGGTAGTATTGTGAAAGTCGACTGACTTAGTTTTATTGATAGGCGTCATCGCGACATGCTTGAGTTTAGGGTCGTGACAATAGATCTTCAAGATTTGGACCTATTCAAACCTATTAAGTTATTGTAAAATAATAATAAAAAACATTTACTTAGGGGTCGATTGGTACATGGGATAAGGATAATAATCCCAGGATAGTGTTTGAGATTAACTTAATTTATCTCATATTTATTTTGGGATATTAGTTACCTTGGATAACTTTTATACTAAAATAGTGGAATTCCTATGTAGAAGGTGGGATAACTAATCCCATGGAATATCTCACCTCATGAGATATACTAGAATATCCCACCGTTGTACCAAACGGAACCTTAATAATTAAAATATGAATAATTAAAATTCAAACTTGAAAAATAAACGCACTTAATATCTCAAAACTAAATAATTAAAATTCAAACCTTCCTTAAAAGTATAAATAATGATGCCTAACTAGACTTGGAAAATATGCCGCCGCACATGAAGGGATTGCCAATCCCAAAAAAGGAAGCACTTTCGTGTCACCGACAAAATTTAATTAATGTAAAAACTATACTGTTTCCTTTAAGTTTTGGTTCATGCCTGATTTGACGATTAATTGTTCCACCAATTGAAATAATTCAGAATGCATGATTTCTTCCTATAATATTTCTCAATTGCATCTTTCTTTCTCTAATCTTTTACATTGAAAGGATTATTCCAAGCTTTGTAATATCTAGAAAAAAGTCTTTTCCTACAACATAATCTCCTACTTCTCTCCATTGTTACTTTCTCTTATCCCAAAACAATAACAATGGCTAGAAAGATCGCGATCTTTGTGGTGTTGTGCATGGTTGCACTAGCTGCAAACCGCGCATATGCCCTAACCTGCACTGATGTTTATACTTATTTGGATGATTGCGAACCTTACCTTACAAATCCAGACCATGAGCATGAAGGTGATCTGCCGAAGTGTTGTGACGGCGTTAGACAATTAGAGGTCACTGTCACCACCACAATAGATCGTCAGACTGCATGTACTTGCCTGAAATCTGCTGGTGATACTTTTATAGGAATTGATTGGTTCAAAGCTGCTCTACTCCCTAGCTTATGTGGTGTCACTCTTCCTTACACTATTAGTGCTGACTTCGACTGCACCAAGTACTTCACTTTCCTTCTCTCTTATCTGCTACTCCTTCAGTTTCAATTTATACCTCTTGCTTTCCATTTTAATCTATTTCAAAATGAATGTCTCTTTTTATCTTTAACAACTTTTTAGCATATTTAAGACTATAAGATTCGAAGACATTTTGGTATATTATATATATCTTTACTTTAAGACTAAAAGATTTATTAGCTTTCTTATTTTTCTTAAACTTTGTGTCAATCCAAAATAAGACACATAAAGCGAAACAGAGCAAATAGTTTTATTACACTAATAGTATTACTTCTGTGCTAATTCGCTTGTTCACGTTTGTTTCAGCACATTAAGAGAAGAGTATTTAAATTAATTTGAGTGTTAACGATCACGTACTGCGGCCATATTATGAGACGGGACTAATTAAGGATCAATATTGAATAATGAAATATTGGAATGAACTAAATGATGGATGATAATTAACTTTTTTAGAAGCCCCCTGGATATTTTACTAACGTGATTTGTAGATCTTACAATTAGTATACTTATTAATTAAACCACCAATGATGCGGTTAAGCTAGTATAAATTATAAATTTGTCTTAAAAAATTAATTGGTAGTATAAATTATAGATCTTACAACTAGTATACTTATTAATTAAACAGCATCAGTTTTATAGTTAATATTTTATACCACCAATGATGCGGTTAAGCTATTGGCTATTGTCTCACACGTGAGCAAAGGGTTTCTATAATGGATGAAGTAACACTAATAAACAAATACCATGTCAATGTTTGTATAATATTGATTTGCACTTGTTCCATTTAGTGCCCAAGGCATTTCGTATTCTCTTAAGGTTCGAGAAAGGGCGCATTCCAAGAGGTGTGATGTAGATAGAATTACTCTAATGCAAGTTTTAATGGTTGCTTCTACGACTCAAACTCATGACCTACAGATCACACAGAGACAATTTTACTGTTGCTCCAACGCTCCCTTCTACTTGTTCCACTTATGATATGACAGTTAAAGTTTTATATTAATTTGCATTTGTTGGATTTTGTGATGCAGGGTCATATAAGGATGATGAACTATCAATCGAATTTACAACCGCACAATTTGGTAGTATGCAATAATGAGAAGAATAAGATGAGATTATAGTCTTAAATCTGACTAATGGATCCCTTTTGTATTTTTTACAAGTTGTTGTCTTTCTTTTTTCTTGTTTTTCCTTTTTTCTTTTTTGTGTGTGTCGCTTTTTGAGTCTTTGACAAATCTTGTCCCATTCTGTGTAATAATTAAGCGGTTGTATTACAATTTCAACTTAATAAAACTAAGTCATCTATCAGTATATGCTTCTTTTCTCACCATTCTCATTTATTTTCAAATTCATCTGATGGAAATAAAAATAGATAAATCAAAATTTCAAGGCAATAGCCCCTCTAATTTGAAACTATCATCTTTTTTATTACTAATTTTTATGATTAAACCTTAACTTAGATTGAAGAACCCAATAGAAAATCCAAATAGTTGTAAAAGGCGGAGAAAAAGATATATAATTATACGAGAATATTATGAAAATCTTTCAATGCTCCAGCTTTCGGTCAACTCAAATGACATTTAACACGACAGAAAATAGTACATTAGACGTTAGCTCAATGCCCTCCTAGACACAAAGTCCGGAACCAAAATGTGGTTCTTTTGGACTTAAAGTATACAAATAGATGGTAAAAAAAAGTTACATTTTTTATATATAGTGTCACAATACCTGGCGCTATACATTGACAGTAACGACACCGTTAATGTATAGCGTCAGGTATTGTGGCGATATACTGTAAAATCTGACACGCCCAGGTATATCGCCACAATACCTGGCGCTATACATACATCATTAATGTATAGCGTCGGGTATTGTGGCGCTATACATACATTTTTAAACCCTTCGTCTTCTTCATCGATTCATCCTCCATTATTTTAACCTTCCCCTCTCTTCTTGGTCCCCCACCCCATACCCGCTTCTGCCCTCATTTTAAACATAAAATTTTTTTTTGGGTCCCCCGACACATAAAACTTGAAGAACGTAGATCCCACATTCGAGTAGAGCTTCGTGTTATTGTTGATTCACACTTTCGGAGTCAAAATTTCAATCTTTTTGCTTTTCGAAAATTCTAAATCGAGGTATTTCGATTTATTTTAAGTTGAAACATTTATAATAATGCATATTATTTGATTTGTATGTTTTCTATTTCGGTTTGTGTTTTTTTTCGAAACTAGCATGTTAAATTTATCCAGATTTAATATTAGTGTTTTCTACAAAAAATATAAATTTGTAAAATAAATTTGTCTGTTAATATCCTGATTTATATATATGTATTTTCATGTCATTTTGTGTTTTATTTGCAATTAAATTTATTTGTTGTTTATGGTTAGTTTAGAATATTTTTTAGCGTAGTAAAATCTAGACCTTTTTAGCGTAGTAAAATTTAGAGCCTTGTAGCGTAGTAATGTGTAGTATTTTAGCATAGAATTTCTTTTGTTTAAGTATCTTATACTAGTTGTTGAAAGTGCAAACTTTGTACAATTAAGTTAATAATTGTATAAAAAACCATATATATATATATATATATAATTTGTACAATTAAGTTATTAAAAATATGAATTTAAATTA